TCATTTATAGCCCAGAGTGCCTCACTGGAATAGATTACTGGTGTTAGTACCCCAAAAAACTATTTTCCTTCTGGCATCCTTTTAGAATCATAGAAGGGTTTGGGCTGGAAGGGACCTTCAAGACATCTCCTTCCAACCCCTTGCCAGGGAATAAACCCCTTCCAGTAGACCAGGTTGCTCAGGGCCACATCCAACCTAGCCTTGAACATTTCAAGAGTTGGGGCATTCACAGCTTCTCTGGGCACCCTGTGCCAGGGCCTCACCACCCCCTGAGTAAAGACTTTCCTGCTAATAGCTGACCAATATATATCCTGTTCAAGTTTGAAGCTATTCCTCCTTGTCCTGTACCTTAGCAGGGATTGAGGTCAGTACTCAGTCACCCAACAATGTGATATTTTGTGGAGGCACTAAAAAAATGTTTTATTTGTGCTCAAAATAACATGGCTTCATTTTGTGTTAGTCTCAGTGTCACTAAGATTGGTACAGCAAAGAGGTGTGGGACAGTGGGATGGGAAGTGGGGAATATATCTGTGTTTGCTGCTGAAGAAATTGTGTGGGACTCTGCATCTTGCAGTGTATTTTATGACATATTTAATTTCTTGTGTTTTGATCAGGAAACCCCTCCTCACAATGCACAAGCTATTATGAGTAACATCCAGCTTCACAGTGTGGGAGCAAGAACCTTCATATTTTTGGTTTTGCTTGGTTATAAAGTCACTGTTTGGCAATTCCTCCCTGCTTATAAATGCTTAGAGAAAGCTCTGAGGAGTAATGGATAATTTTTGCCTGTCTAATGATTTAAATATTGATATGTGGCTTAAAAACAAGAAAAAACCCAACCCAACAACCAGCAACAAGAAAACAGGTACTGGGTTTTATTACATTTTCTGTATGGAGGTTGCTTATTTTTATTGGACAATAAGCATTCTTGTGAAACTCAAATAAGGATGTCCTTGGGTTTTTCTGACCACCCAAGGTGAAGCTGTTCTTTGTTTATATACTGCTTGTGATATTTATCTCTGTTATTTACCTTCTCTGGAGCTGTTAACATTTCACCTGAAACTCTCACTGAAAATATTTTGAGAAAAAGTATTATTTTTAAAAGAATAAATTGATAAGTTGTGAGCACTAATATTTCTCTGTAATTTTAAATTTTAATTCAATCTACCCGTTTGAGACTTTGACATTTTCACTGCCATGTGTGTTCTTTACCATGAGTATCCCTGAGGTGTTGGGGAGATCTGAGGTCCTCTACATCTCTGTTCTCTGTCATTAATTCAACTGAGCACCTTGAGGTACAAGTCTTTGCAATGTACTCATATGCACAATTGAACCAACAAAAGGACATTTAGAAGCCTCTTTTGTCTTTTGAGTAGAAGACCATTCTCCAAAGTCTTTCTTTAGGAAGAATGTATCTAATTCCATTATTTCTACCAGAACTCCTTTATACCATTGTGTTATGAAGACCAGACTTTTTGGCATTAGGTGCCAAACAACCTACAATAAATAATTTATTAATAACTGTTTATTGCCATTCTTTTTATTAAGAACTAAAACATGCTTGGCTACCTAAAGAATATGAATTACACTTTTGGCTGCAGTCCTTAATAGTGCAGAACTTGCAAGTCTCTGGATTCTTTTTATATCTGGACCGTCAGTCTCAGAGTTTGACCATAGTCTGAGAGTCCCTTAGTTTTCTCTGATTTTGCCATGCATTTTTTACTTCGACCAGTTCAGTTTGGTGGGTACACAGGAAGACAACTACTTGTGACTCCTACAATATCTCTGCCATCCAAATGAATTGACCAAATTTAGGGGATGAATAGGGAAAGGTTTAAACAAGATGAAGACCTGTTTCTTTTATGCCCTTGCACCTAGTCCATTTGGCAAAGGACATAATGAATGATGGAACTAGCCTTGTTATGAAGTCACCAGTACTGAGTTATCTTCATGTGTTTTTGATATCCAAGGCAGAATTGACTGGGCAATGAGGAAATAAATGTCTGCCCAGCAGACATTTATTTGTACTCAAAATAACATGGCTTCATTTTGTGTTAGTCTCAGTGTAACTCAGACTGGTACAGCAGGAGCTGAACGTCTCTAGTTCTGCTGAGAGTTTTGACCGCATGGCCATCATTGCCCAGAAAGGTTTTGGATGCTGGAAGTGTTCAGACACAGGCTGCATGGAGCTCTGAGGAACCTGGTCTAGAGGAAGGTGTCCCTGCCCACATCATGGCATGAATCATATGGGCTTTAAGGGCTCTTCCAAAAGCATTCCATGATTCTATGATTCCATTATATGAAAATGTCACCCTAGGCACCTCTGTATAATCTCCCCAGCTTTAGGTGGCTTAATCAGAAAAGCCAGGAAAGCCATTGGAAATCAGTTTCCCACTGGAAATATTTAGGACTGTGTGGGATGTTTCTGAACATGAGACACACAATGAGGGAAGGCTGACATTACCAAAGTGTGGCAGGAGGTACCCAGTTTGATATTCCCTGGAGGAATATCAATGCCTCCTATGGAAGCAGCTGCACTGGAGCAGGGAACGTGTGAAGAAGAGGGAGCAGCTGAGAGGTGCTTTTATGGACTGACACTAACTCCCATCCCCATCCCCCTGAGCTGCTTGGGAGGAGTCTAAAAAACTGAAGCCAAGCCTGGGAGAAGGGAGTGGGCTGGAGAGAGGTTTTATTTTAATGTCTGAGTTTGTTTCTTACTACCCAGTTGTGAATGAATTAAATTAATTTCACAGAAGTTGAAGCAATTTTGCTAGTGGCAATAATTGGTAAGCCATCTCCCTGTCTTTATCCCATCCTATTTTTCAGCCAATTTTCTCCTGCTGTTCTGTTGATGAGGGGGAGGGAGAGCTCATGTGGTTGGGAGTTTGGCTGTTAGCCAAGGACAACCCACCACAATTCTGAGCAGCAGAAATCTAAATAGAAATGGCCAGACAGTTATAGAATATTATTCTTTGGAGCTGATCTAGTGGAATGGGCACATGGTAAATCTTAAATATCAGTATATGGAGGAGTGTCCTGTTACACTAATGTGTAATATCACTTTAATACCCTGTTACTGATATTTGGAAATTATTAGACTTTATGAGTAGTCCACACAGAGTATTTTTATCAGTAAAAAATTGTATTGCATAAAACTATGATGAAGATTCAAAGGGTCTTAAGGCATAAGTCTTGTACTTGCTTTAGAAAAAAGTCAGGATCAATACCATCAATTACAAACTTCTGCATAGTGCAAGAACAGCATAATGGAGAGAAAGATCAGGTAGCTTAGATTTGATTGATGTTATGTTAACTGGATATTGTGTGCATTTGGAATATGAACTGCTTTTATTTTCTTTTCTGAAAACTAACATGTAAACAGAGAGTTTTCATGCTGAAACTCGACTGAAACAGATACCTAGAAATGTCAAAGGTTGTGCTGGAATTGGATCCCAGTTGGGAAGAAGCTGCCAGCTGAAGCAGGTAGAGTAACATGGGCTTTCAGGTGTGAAGGATATGGAACATTTGCCTCTGGAGTGGTGCTTTTTGTTTTGTTTTGTTTTGTTTTGTTTTGTTTTCTCCCTATCAAACTTCTTTCTTCAGCTTTTAACTCCAGAAAGACAGAACTAGTTCATTCACTATTACACTTTTTGGAACGATTTTATTGGTAAGTGTAGCCTGAGATGTTCATACAGGAGTTCACAGACAACTTGGTGTTTTCATAAAGTTACGGAATGGTTCAGGTTGGAAACGATTTGCATTTAGAGGGTGGGACAAAAATCAGGCCAAAACTATTTGTAAATATTAGTGGGTTAAAGGACTTTATAAATAAAGAGATCAAGGAGGGAAAATCCAGAGAAAGGGAGACTTTTTGTAACACCAGCATAGTTTTAAAGCAAGTTGGTGGGAGGTCTGCAAAGGGGTGGAAGAATCCTGAGCTAAAATATCCTCGATTGGGTACTGTACTGAACACTACCTCATATTCCTCATCCATGGAAGTGGTGATGAAGGAAGACTAGGATAAGTTTTTCCCTCTGTTTAGACTGAGCTCATGTTTTGGGGACTGGAACAGGCTCCCCAGGGAAGTGGTCCCAGCACCAAACCTGCCAGAGTTCAAGAAGAATTTGAACAATTCTCTCAGACACATGGAGGGATTTTTGGGGTGTCCTGTACAGGGCCAGAAGTTGGCCTTGGTTATCCTTATGGGTCTCCTCCAATGCAGGATATTCTATGGTTCTGTGTATAACATAAACCAGTGAAATTGCTGATGTTTTCTTTTTCTGTCTTCCTGCACCTAACACAGGGATGCCCTATGGGATAGAAAACAACCAGAATACAATTAACAGAATCACAGAATGGCAGGGAGCACAGTGGGCCATCTGATCCAACCTCCCAGAGCACATGGCACAGGATTGTGTCCAGACAGTTCTGGAATATCTCAGTGTGGGAGACTCCACACCTTCTCTGAGCAAATGATTAATGCTAACATTTTCTTGATAAGGTAGACTCATCAGGAACAGCAGAGTGATAACTGTTATGCATAATATATGCAGTAATGTTCCCAGATGTGAGATTATCACTTTTGTTGTCTTTCCACCAACTTTTTTTGTTGTTTGTGGGTTTGTTTGTGGTTTTTTTTTGGGTTTTTTTTTTTTTTTGTTTAGTATTAATTTTTGTCACTCCTTTTCTGATATCAGGACATTTTTTCATAGATGTTTCTCTAAGTCTCCTTTTCCTACAGGAGGACAAGTGCTTTTCACAACCTTTCTTCATTATTCACACATCAAACCATTGTGTCCACTCTGCCTGGTGTAAAATAGAAAGGGCCAGATTAAACCCACTTTAATTAATGCTAAAAATCAGAAGAAAAGCTCCTGAACATGCCTTTTCTCTTGAGCACTTTTGGGCACAGATGCCCAGGATGTGCTCTCACAGAATTTCAGGTTGGATCAAGAGGTCACTTTTCTAGCAATGTGTAATTTTTCATCCTTTCTCTCCAGGTATTATCAGATAAGAGCTGGACTGAAGATCCCATCCAGGATTCCCCACAGGCTGTTTGCTACGATTGCAGGACAGACAGGTAAGCAGGTCCCAGAGGAATGTGACATCACTGCAGGTGGGGTAGGGTGGAGGAGACTGTGTGGAGAACAGGTGAGCCTGGATTGAGATCAAAACCTGCTTTTCCCTAATGATCAGTAGTTGCTCACCTCTTTCTGGGTAAGGGTTTGTGTCCAGTATTGGGCTTGTGTCTGTCAGAAAAGCAGAGGAAATTCTCACAATCTGATCTGAAAGCATGTCTCTTCTATGTGGTTCCTTGCTGACAATTTTCTAGTTTAATATTCCTTTATGTCTTTAAGGTTCTCTTTTTTTTTTAATAAATAAAATAAATATTTAAGTATTTAAATAAGTATTTAAGTATTTAAATAAATTTAAAAAGTATTCTTCAATCTGGAAGTCTGGTTCCATTAAAATGCAAAATTATTAGACAAGTTTTATAAAACACAAATAATTATACCAAAATCTGAGACAATCATAAAAAAACCCCTCTCAAACTCAAAAGCTGAATAAAGAAATAAAGAAAGTCAATGAATATATAAATAATTTAGTCTAGGTTTGGAAAAACCTTTTGCTGTGAAAAATCCTCAAGGAAGAAACAGTATTATTTTACAACATATTCCACTCTAATTTTCCCTTGGCATATCCAGAATCCCCTGTACTTCCTTCTATTTCTAGAAATGTCCTCAAATTACAGCAGTTTCTGGCATGAGTCGTCTTATACTAATGAAATAACCTCCTGTGAAGACAGCTAGAATTTTACTTTCTTGGGGCAAAAAACCACTCAATAACAAACAACAAAAAATCCAAACTACTCCTGTTCAGAATAAACTATGTTTTATATTTATTTTTTTTTACAAAGTAGTATTTTCTTCTCCCTGATACATCTTCACCATCAAGAAAATATTGAAGATTTTTTCACCACTTCTAGAAACAATTCACATACACGCACGGGCAGGGGAGAGGCAAGGCTGGCATTGCAGTTACAGGATTAGCAGTTGACTTTCATGGTGCTAATGCAATCCAGACTGGGCTCTAATAGCTTTATAGGGCTAACATCAAGACAAGGGATATTTAAGCCACTAAGACTTTAAACAGTTTCTCCTTGGCTATCTTTGCAAATGCTTCCTAATTGATTTCATAGATCTACAAGAAAGCATTATTTAATGGGACTGAACTTAAAGGTACACAGGCCATAATGTGGGTTTTTTTCATGCTATTGATCTCTCTCAGTATGTGCCTAGCTGGGATAGGGCTAATTAAATCACTGTGCATGTTTCAAGAAGACATTCCTATTAAGATAGCATTACAACAAAATAAGGGTGATATAAAATAGTGAATAAACTCCTACCTCACTGGCGAGAATGACTATAAAATAAGTGGAATTCATGAGTTCAGTTTTAAGGAAGTATTTTTAATCTTTCCCTTATCGGGTTCGTAGGATTTGTGAAAACTGAGAATATATTTTGGAAATGATTATGCAAATTCATAAAGTAAAATCTGTGAATTTATGCAGTAATAAAATATATAAAATATGTAAGTATACAAAATAAATAGGAGGCAGTATTTATCTTCTGATGCACACGGCTTTTTATTTTTATTAAATGTACAGGATTTACAATAAAACCTTGGGAACTGACAGCATTAGCAATGTTTGCTTCCCACTAGATGTCTTCAGCAACAGAGGCAAAAACTCCTGTAGTTTGCAATAATTCAGCAGAGGGAAAGCTGAAGTCTGTGCTAGGCAGTCCCTTGGTAGTGACCAACCAAATGTGAGCAGAAAAAATTCCATGGCACAGGACTGACAGGTTGTGCAGGAAGCCTTGGTGACCTACCACATGGTCCACAGTTTATCCATATCCTGTGTAAAATTTAGGAAGAGAGTGAGCTGTGAGTTTGGTCAGTCAAATCACAGGAGAGCTGTGCTGCAGCCTAGGAGCCCCTGGGGTGTGGTCACTCACATCCTCAGTACTGACCAGCAGCTTCTATTGAGTCAGGGTGCATGAACAGGAATATGCTGTGAACATAAATATAGTCACAAAAACAAACACATTGCATTCAAACTCCCAAGCGTTTTTAGCAAGGTGTGTTCCCCTAAAGACAAGACTGGTGGCTGGGGACTTTTCACAGAATCATGTAATCATAAAATCTGGAAATTACCTCCAAGATCAAGTCCAACCTTTGGGCCGAATACCGCCTTTCCCACTAAGCCAGACAGTGGAGTGATACTTCTGCTTGTTTTCTGAGCTCTTCCAGGGATGGTGACTCCACCACTTCCCCAGGGAGCTTGTTCCAATGTTTACCCACTCTTTCAGGGAAGAATTTTTTCCTTATATTCAACCTGAAACTTCCCTGACTCAGCTTGAGGTAATTTCCCTCTGTCTTATCACAAGTTGTCTGGCAGAAGAGACTGACCCCCACTTCCTTTCAGGTTGTTGTAGAGAACAATAAGGTCTCCCCTGAGTCTTCTCCAGACCAAACCACTCCAGCCCCCTCATCTGCTCCTCACAGGACTTATGTTCCAGATTGTGCTTCTCATTTTTGAGCAATGAAAAGGAGAGAGGGAACAAGGCTTGTTGTGCACAAGCTGCTGTCATACATATTTTATACCTCCACAAAATTCAGCTTCCTGTCTTTTAATAGATACCATGACTGAAGACTGCTTTGGGCTTGTGAGGAAATTATGCTTTGCTCATTCATGTACAGCTCATAACAGCACAAACTCCATTGCCCTCAGCACTCCTCCTACAGGGCTGAGTTAATGCAGACATAGCCTGAATTTAAACTCTGGAAATGCCTTTCTGAGTGGATTGGTGATGGTGTCTGCCTGCAGCTGACAGTGGGCTGAGCCTGTGGGACCCAAGCACGAGCAGCTAGAGGAGCAGGGAAGGTGAAGATGCCATCTCACAGTTATAATTTGTATAATTAGCTCCTTGGCTAAGTTGTCTTATGACCCACTAAGTGTCTACCATAAGATTTTCAGCTACTGTGTAAATTTTGGGGCAAGGATTCATCGAAGTAGTGAACATACAGTCTCATGGATTTCCAGGCTACAGGCACAAGCTGAAAAACTGCAGGATCTTATCTTAAAAGCATGTATTTAAACCATCTTTTTTAGTTAATTCCTCCAAACACTGGGAGAAAGAGCAATTCTCAGAAACAGTTAGTGTTAGCTGTTTTATCATGGTGTTCTGCACTGTATGAAAGAGGGGGAAATGGAGACCAGAGCAGTGCAGAAGCAGGCAAGTTAAAGAACATGGTATGCGTGGGATAAATCTTGGCAGCATTATTGCCAACAGAGATTTGGAGGGTGAATTACAACATTGAACTTGCCTGATAAACCCAATCTCAGAAAGAATATAAATTTCCATCTCTTCTGCAGTGTTTTGCAGTAGTCTACACACCACTTGAATGCATTACCATTTTGAAACAGAATTATCCTTTAATAGTGAAAGCTGCAATTGGCTTTTTTTGTAAGTTTTTCAACCCACTATGCCTCACTCCCATGTACTGCAACCAACAATAGTCATTTGCTACCAGCTTGCCTACTTGTTTAACTTACAGGCCAGGAAAATTGTTTTCCTGGGTGAACATTAAGAAAAAAATTTATTTTACATGGCATATAACTAAAGAAATTGCTGAGAACATTGATTTGTGTCCTGATCTCCTTTTTTTTCTACCCAGAAATACCACATTACCAATTCTCAGTGCTCCAAATATTTTTGAAAACTTGACCTGAAAATGTAATTACAAGTAATACAAAGTATTTAAGAAAAATTGTCACTGGCTATGCCAATCTTTATTAGACTGTAGAAGTCTTCCATCTAATTTTTAGTCAGTTAAATTGGGTTATTGTTTGAAAGTGCAGAAAGCCAAGGACAGCCAAGGAATGAGGTTCTTTCTTCATTTTTTCTCATAAAAGGCGTGGAGATAAGATACAATATTTCTTCCAGACAATTCAAGAAAAAGCAGCTGTGACTGCCATTACACATTGACTCTTTTTATTGGTGATGTAAAATTGTGTACCCACAATTTTATGCTTTTTCATAAAATGGAATGCCTGACTTTAGGTGACAAGAAGAATCATAATTTCAACTGTGGTATGCAAAGAAAAAAAAAATGCAGGAGCATCAGAAAATAGTGGAATCATAGAATCATTCAGGTTAGAAAAGATCTCTTGTGTCCCACCATTACCCCAACACATTAAACTCCACCACTAACCCATGTCCCCTAAAACAAAGAACATTTCTGTAACCTCTGTCTGAGCTATACAAGTTCATTATAATCCACACTGAATTCCTTTCCCTATAAATTAAATTATTTAATTAAATTATGTCTGTGGCTACCTTTCACCTAAGACATCATTTGAAGGGTTATTTGCATTTCTGATATGCTCCATAATTAACTGTTTGTGCCTGTTTTTAATAAACAAGCAGTGATCTTAATCTCTTCATTAATGTTTGACTATCTCAGAGCAATTCCCAGTGAAGGAATTCTGCTTTGATTATTAAAGAGAAACCTTTTCTTGTAAATGGCTTCTTAATGCAGTCAAAACAAACAGTTGCAGTTAGTTGCTCATTAGAGCAAGGAGAAACAGCACCATGACTTGTGGAGCAGTATGAAATTGCAGTCATTAGTTTCAATAACTTTTTGAAAGGTAATTTCTTCCTCCATTAAGTGAAGATAAGGTTACTCTTTATGAAGTATGAAGAAAAGGGGTAGAAAATTATGCTTTAGCAAACAAATGGGTTTATTTTCAAAGCTTATTGAAAGCAATCTGAAAATAAATAGGGATTTTCTATATAAAATAAAGCATACTTGATAAATACAAGGTATATCCAGAGGGCACTTCACTATGAAAGAAGGTGTTTTGGGGATGAGTTGTCTTCAGCTGTGAGGCCATAAGAGATGAGCCCGTCCCTGGAAGCATTCAAGAGCAGATTGGATGGGGGGCCCGTGATCTAATGGAAGCTGTCCTTGACCATGGCAGGGGAGCTGGATTGAGATGATCTTTAAGGCTCCTTC